CACCGCCCACCTCCTCCTCCTTGCTGACTGGTACGTCAGCCCCTCATTCCACGTCAGCCTACTTCGCCCTTACGTCCCGTCCACGAGCCAACTGCCACGCAATCGCCCAGCCAGCATGACCAGACCACCAACTGAACCAATCATCACCCCCGAGAAAATCCTGAGTCACAGAGTTCGCGACCCTCGAGGAGCCCGAAGGATCGAGTTCTTACTCCGCTGGAAGGACCGTACACCCACCGAAGACAATTGGGTTCCCCTGGACAGAATCGAAAACCACCCCGTCCTCACCGAGTATCTACGCAGTCGAAATTTCAGGGATGTACACGCACTTTCGTAAGGAGGACCTCCTTAGGGGGGGTGGGTAGTGTAAGGAAAATTCCTTTTCCTTACTTCGCATCCCTGATCAACGCGTACATCACTGTAGCACCACAGTCAGCACCGTTACCACTCGCAACCCTCGCATCGACAATCCGCCCGCCACCTTCGCACATCACACCCCGACCTCACGGCTCGGCGGGTAACCCGCGCTCCGGGCCTCCGCTTCGACACTTTTTCCCAACCTCAGTCCCAGGCCCGTCGCGCGACAACCACAGTCCATTACCGTTACCACTGTAGTTTCGCTATATATTCTTCGCTCATGCCTTCGCTCATTGTACTCTTGCTTCGATAGTGCAATTCTCGTTCGTTCACTCAATTGCACTCGTAACACTAATCCACAAAATCGAAAATCATAATCCGCAAGTTTCAGTCACTGTAAAATCCCCCCGATCAGTGAGGTCAAAACCTCTCCGCTGCCGGGGAATCTGGCGTGCAAAGCACGGGAATCTGGGGCCCTGAGTCCCATCAACACTGCCGAGCCGAGCCGAATCTCGTGAGTCCTGCGCTTCCGCCACCAAGCACCCCAGGCTCAAACCCCTCGGGTTACCACCACCACACCACACACCTCGAGACCCCCCGCCACCGCCTTGGCGCTGTGCTCCCTGCTTGGAAGTTGGAACAAAAGTCGGTGCCTGGTAGCGAGCGCTATGTACAGACAGAAGTACCCCGGGCTGGAGACATGTGTTTTCATACTGTACTGTGACACGGAATTTGAGCAGCAGTGCACCGGATTCACAGCAATTATTGGTGCTGCACCTCTCCACTGAAGCCATCTTGGCTTCTTTCATCTCCTGTTTCTGTCTATGTTTTTGGAACGTCATTGCTAAGGATCTTGATTCACAATCGTTTTCTCGAACAAGATGGCGCGCCTTTTTTCCCTCTTGGTTACGTCAAGAATGCAGTTGCCGGCCGCGTTACTGCTTTTGATCGTCGCGACGAGCCTCGCAGGATCCGGATGCGCGCAGTCTATTGCGCCGGCACAGGGTAAGTACATCCCTGGTTGCATTAGTGCGACGTGCTTCGCTACTACCTGCTGCGAGCCGCTGCTTTACGGCGCGCGGCTCGTGGCAGCATTGCGATGCCACTCGCAATTAGTTCCCGCGGTGTTGGCCGATGGGATCTGGTGCCGAGAAGAGCCTTTGACGTGACGCACGGTGAAGGAAGCGCGGTGTGCCGCCATGGCGTTAGAGCAGAGCCGTCATTGCACGTGCAAGCCGTCGCCACCCACTCGACGCGCTCGCTGCGGCGGCGCGTTCAGCTACGTTGCTGTGGCTCTCCGCGCCAGCCTCCTTCCGGATTTCGTTTCCGTCGAGGATATGGTCAGCCGTCGTCAGCTACGAGAGACATTGCATTCCGCGTGAAACAGCCGCGTATTCTTTAACATGAACGAGTGCTGCTGCTGCTGCCGCTGCCGCTGCTGCTGCTGCCGCTGCTGCTGCTGCTGCTGCCGCTGCTGCTGCTGCTGCTGCTGCTGCTGCTGCTGCTGCTGCTGCTGCTGCTCTTCCATACCTCATCATCTTTCGTGTGGCATTGTTGCCCTCTCATCCCCTCCAGCGGAAGTGCTCAAGGTGTGTCAGCAGACTTGGAAATTCACCGGCTGGACGGACTTCAGCGATTGCAACATCACAGGCGTTTCATGCGATACCAGCGGGAATGTCTTAAAGCTGTGAGTTGGCGTGCCACGGGTGAAGAGGGAGAGTGTCGTTGATTTGGTGAAACGTGTGTTTCGTTCAAGGATTGTGCACATGCTATATCGTAGTGATATGGGAAATGAAGGCAATATGAATGTGTGAACATAGCAGAGGGGAGGTTCTAGGTTGCGCTATTCATGCTTCTCACTCTTGATGCTGGCCCCTTGTTGCTGTGTCGGTCTTCCCTAGTCGATCGCACTGCACCATGGCTCCCCTCATTAACTTCCCTCTCTTCGTTCAGGTTCTTAATCAATCAGAATCTGACGGGTTCTATCCCCGACGCTCTCAGCAATCTCACCCGCCTTGGCGAGCTGTGAGTGTTCCGCTGTCCCCTGCACTTGAGTTATCGCCCCTACACTTGAGTTATCGCCCCTGCACCTGAGTTATCGCCCCTGCACGCACCATGCACTACCCACATGGCCCTGCCTTACTGGCCATGCTCCGCGTAGCTTCATGCGGGGCGTGCATTGACAGCACGGACGATTCCGGCCCCATGCTCCACTGCACACACGGGCTCTGATGGAAAGGCATCTCGGTGGTGAGGGGTGCAAGTGGATGGGACGGTAAGTGCATGTGAGGATGCGACAGTCGTTTGGTTGTTAAGGGGGTTGGGTTGGGAGGGAGCTAGGGATTAGATAGGGTGCAAGAGACGAGCGTGGTTTGGTGACAGAGTAGTAAGCGTGCGTGTGTGTGCCGCCCCCAACAGGCAGCTGAGCGGCAACAAGCTGGAGGGATTCATACCGGTTAACATCGGCACCATCACCTCTCTCTCTGCGCTGTGAGCCCTGCCCTGCCCTGCCCTGCCCTGCCCGGACCCGCGTCCGCCATCATTTACTTCCTCCAGTGCTTGCTTGCTCGTCCCTAGTCTTGGTCCGGGTCGTAACTCTGTGATGTGTTGCCGTGCTGTGTGCTTACCTCGTTCCCGCTGCTGTCTCTCCGTGCACATCACATCACATCACATCACATCACATCACATCACATCACATCACATCACAGCGACTTCACCAACAACAAGCTGACAGGCGAGATCCCACGCTCCCTGGGAGACCTCGTGCTGCTCCAATCACTGTACGTACCTCACCACCTGTCCTTCTCAACGCTGCCGTGAACTTGGGAACACACGGGCATGCGTTCAGTCCCATTCCATGCAAATGCACAGCACATGCACTTCGTGTGCACTCCTCCTACTAATCCGCCCATCCTATATATGTGTCATGCGTGCCTCTCCCACGCCAGAAACCTGGAGTACAACAAGCTCTCAGGCACTGTTCCTCTGGGTATCGGCAAGCTCTCCACTCTTGAGTACCTGTGCGCCTTCTCATGCCCATGCCATCTCCTCCCTCCCTGCACCCCACGTCCTTCATTCCTGGCTGCATGCAACCGGCTATCCCGTGTGCACTATACCTGTGCTCTGCACATCCCGTCCCCCGTCGATCAAGCCAACTGCTCTCGCACTGCTCTGCCTCGCTTGCATGTGTGCATGGCCCTCTCACCGGCAACCTCTGTGGAATGGAATGATTTTGTTGCCACGCGCTCAGGCCCTCGCTCTCTGTCCTTGTGTGACAGCGATTCTGGTGCCCCTGACCCTCGCCTTCTTGATAATGCCTCGATCCGCGCGCTCGTTCTTCCCCTCCGCCCAACCGCCCTCTGCAGGAGCCTCGCGCACAACAATCTCTCGGGTCCTATCCCCCTCGACGTGCCAACGCTTCCCGGCCTCACATCGCTGTCAGTTGCTTGCACTCGCCCACGCCACCCTCCGTGCCTTAACTCTCCCCCTTTACGCGGCTTCCTGCGCTGCTGCGTGTCCTGCTGCCCCTGGCCTGTACCTCTCCATACACGTGCTCTACATTCTCCTTCCACTATATCCATGTATCGCCCCTCTGACTGTACAACCTGATTCATTGCATGCATGTTTTTGTGTGGTGCACTCTGCTTCTGCCCCTGCAGGTCGTTGAATAACAACAAATTCAACAGCTCCATCCCACCAAGCATCGGCACCCTCTCCAACCTCACCAACCTGTACGTGCCCATGCCTTCTACCTTCCCTGCGCCGCTCCCCCCGCGTCCTTGCCTTGCCACCCTTCTCCCGTTCCCCCTCCCCTCTCTGTCTGCTTCCTCCTAATGTGACAATACACCCGCAACGTCTCCGCCCCCATTTCCCCTGCACTATATCGGGCACGAATCAGGGCGCTAGACAACAATCGCTTGATTGGGCCCATTCCAACAACAATCTCGGGTCTGCAGAAGCTCAAGTCCCTGTGAGTCCTCATCACTGCTGTAGCTGTAGCTGCGCCGATACGTGTTGCTGCTGCTGCTGCTGCTGCTGCTGCTGTGCGACAGCCTACCAGTGGTATCAGCTCACAGCGCGTCACAGTGCTCCAATGCTCCACCTCACCTGTGCACCCATTATCACCCGTCAGTCACTGCACCTACCCGTGCTCCAACACTCTGTTCCTCACCACCACCTGCCACCCAGTCGCTGCCACATGGGGCTCCTAAGCTACCGTGCTCCCTGCCCGTGCTCCCTGCCCGTGCTCCCTGCCCGTGCTCCCTGCCCGTGCTCCCTGCCCGTGCTCCCTGCCCGTGCTCCCTGCCCGTGCTCCCTGCCCGTGCTCCCTGCCCATGCTCCCTGCTTATGCTCCCTGCTCGTACTCCCTGCCATGCGCCCCCACCACTGCAGCAACTTGAGCAGCAACGCCTTGAGTGGATCCATCCCAGACACCGTCTCTGCTCTCACCAGTCTTGAGTCCATGTATGTCACACAGCACGGCCCACCCCTTGTGTGCCTCGCCTCATCGTGCGTATACCTTGCCTTCACAGTCCATGCTCACATACTCTTGGTGGCGCTTTGCTCTCATGTACACGTCCTCAGTTTGCCTTCCATGCACTTCACAACATACCCCTCTCTTCTGCCCCTGTTACAACTGCCAGGTGGCTGCATGGCAACCAGCTTTCTGGCGCTATTCCCGATGGGATTGGTAGCCTTACCAATTTAATTCACCTGTATGTTCAGCCCAGAGCCACCATCCAACCAGCCATCAAGCCTCTGTCACACCTGTGCCCGCTCCCCATCTTCATTCCATTCATCAGCGCCCCTGCATGCTCCTCCCTCCTGTCATTGCCCATCACCGTCCTTGTCTCCCGCTTCCCTGTCCGAATCGCCTCCCCCTCATCTGTCCATCCTCCTCTCTGTCTGTGTGCCCTGCGCCTTCCGAGTGGCCTCAGGTCGTTGAGTTACAACAGCCTCACCGGCTCTCTGCCATCAGGCATCGGCGCCCTCACCAATCTCACTCATCTGTATGGCGTGCACCACCTACCACCACACACCCTTCCCTTCCCCCTCTTGCTCACCACTACCAACCCCCTCTGTTTCTACCCTCGTGTCGTTCTCTCTTCCCACCTTTCCTCCAGCACGCCTTCTCTCCTCTGTGCTGCCTGCGTATCTGTCTGTGGGTCGGTGCGTCCACATCACATGCAGGAGTGTGCAGCGCAACCGTCTCAACGGGACAATCCCTGCCATCATTAGTGGCCTCGCAGGCTCCTTGAACCACCTGTATGGCACCAACGCTCTGGCCAATCCCCTCATCCTTTCTGCTTCCTTTCATACGTCACCTCTAGAGCTAAGAGCTGTTTCCGCACGTCAAGTGTGTGTTGGTGTAGCTTGTCTCCTGCCCCATCATTCCCCGCCCGCTGTGTCGTGCTGTGCGCACCGGCAGCAACATGAGCAACAACCCTCTCCGCGTGGAAGTGCCAGCACAGCTAGGGCCGCTTGCAAAGCTCATCCACCTGTATGTATCATGGGTCTGCTTTGCTCGCATGGCGTGCTGTGCTGGATAGAAGATAACATGCCCTTCGGACTGCCAAGTGTGTTGCTGTGCTGTCTGCAGCCCTGTATCTGTGCCCGCAAGCGCCCACCCACTTGCATTATCCCCCCGCACCATCCGTCCCTCCTTCCACCACCATCCCCCTCCCCTCTCTCTGCGCATCTCCCCTTCCCGCCGTGCCAGGGACCTCTCATTGTGTCTGCTGAACGGGACCATCCCCGACACCTTCACAGGGCTCACCAGTCTCGCCTCCCTGTGCGCTCCTCTTCTCTTCCCGTCCTCCGTCACCACGCTCGTCCCATCACCATCGCGTGCCTTCTCTTCCCTCACGTCTCTTATCTTGCACTCTGTCCCCGATGTGCTTTGAATGTGCTCTGAACGCAGCAAACTAGCTGCTTCGAGCTTGCATGTGCTAGCATGCCATGCCGTGCTGTCCACATGCACAGGTATCGCCATGCTGTGCCTGCGGTAGTGGTCCGGCAGTGCTAAAACAGCATTCCTTGTCCGTGCTCTCCCTCCTACCTGTGCCTCCCGTGCTCCCCTGTTCTCTGTGCACAGTCGGCTTAGCAGCAATGATGTTGGCGGATTCATCCCTCCTTCCCTCGCGCAACTGCGTCACCTCAACGTCCTGTAACTCACACTGGCTTTCTCTCTCCCTCCTCACTCCAAACCCCTCCTGCATCCATATTTCCTTCGTATATGCTATTGACATGGCACATACTTTTACGCAAGGAGGCTTTTCCGAGACAAGGGGTTTTTCAGATCTGCGAATTTCACACTGTTTTTGCAGTTGATCCTGTTGCTAAAGCGTCACTTTCACATGCTGCAGCCCTTCGAATTATGAGTCAGGACGACCTGCGGAGCAGAACACACTCAGCAGGGGCGCACCTGGCGCTGCATTCTCTGAGAATGCTGCCTCCTCTCCCCCGCACCGGCCAGGTCATTGGAAGACAACAGGCTGCAGGGCAACCTGCCTGTGGAGCTCAGTGCTCTCGCTGACCTCCGTGTGCTGTGAGCTGCTCTCCTGCCTTGCCACCACATGCTGCTGCTGCTGCTTCCGCCCCTCCCATCCCATTCCGTCAGCACTGCGCACTTGATTTTCTTCGTCTCGGTTCGTCATTTCACTTTAACTCCTCGGAAATTGGCTCTGATGTAGCGTCAATCTGCCATAATGTTTTCGCAAGCTCCCGCTGCTTCACTAAGGCCAGCCACTGTGCATGAATGCATGCTCTCCTTCCGCCATGCCCCGCGCACCACTCCCATGCCACACAGTGATCTGAGTGGCAACGAACTCACAGGAACCATCCCCGACTCCTACTCTGCCCTCTCCTCTCTCGAGCACCTGTAAGCTGCACCCTCTGCCTGCCCCTATGCCTTCCTCACTGTTGCTGCCGCTCTTGCCCCTTGGCACATGCACACCCCGTTCTTGCCCTCTCCTCATTCCCCACTCTCCCTGCTCTCTCTGCCACGCTCACCGCCACTGCTGCTCACGGTCCCTGTGTCATCGGCCAAACATGCCGCCCGTGTCCCTCAAGTCCTGTACTTCTCTCGTTCTGTGTGCTGCTAGCATGGCCCATCCCACCAGAGCACCGCATGCGGATGTGAGTTGCCCCGCTCGTGTGTTTGCTCTGCCCTGCATGTGCTGACATGCCACTGTGCTGCTGTGCCCCTGTGTCACTGTGTCACTGTGACGCTGTGCAGGGACATGAGCTTCAGCACCATCACTGGTGGCATTCCGGACTTCATCGGACAGTTCTCCTCTTTGACTACTCTGTCTGTGCTCCATTCCTCATCCCCCAACCCCCTTTGCTATCTCACATGGTTGAAGTTAAAGGTCCTTCATGCACCTTGCTTCCCATCCCATGCTGCACATTCCTTCGCTTACCCTCATCTCTGTACTCTTTCCTTCAGGCTATCACTCCTCCTCCTCCTCCGCCTCCTCCGCCTCCTCCTCCTCCTCCTCCTCCTCCTCCTCCTCCTCCTCCTCCTCCTCCTCCTCCTCCTCCTCCTCCTCCTCCTCCTCCTCCCCTCCCCCCCCTCCCTCCTCCTCCTCCTCCTCCCCCCCCCCCCCCCTCCCTCCTCCTCCTCCTCCTCCTTCCCCCCTCCTCCTCCCCGCCTCCTGCTCCTCCACATTTTCCCATGCTCATCCGTCGCCTCCTGTGCACCACACCACACGATGCATGCAGGAGTTTTTCCTCCACACCCATAGGTGGCAACATCCCCAGGAGCATCTCAGCGCTCACCAATCTGCAGGAGCTGTCAGTGCATCGCTCCTCCCATTGCACACAATACCTCGCGCCGCTCTTGCTCTCACCCTTACCTTCCCAGCTCACGACTACCAATCTTCCCCTCCCCTCTCCTGCAATTTGTCCCGCCTTGCTCTGTGCGTTTTCATCTCCTGTTCCGGCATGCCATGTGCTGTTGTGCATGGCTGCAAGCACTGGTGGGTGATGGTCACTCACGCAATTATCTTTCCCATGCCATGTGTTGCTATTCCATTGGCGTTGTGGCGCATGGATGGGCAGGAGTTTGTTTGAGTGCAACTTGACCGGGTATATTCCCCTTGTCATCGGATCGCTCTCTCGGCTCACATCACTGTACGTGTCTCCCCCATCCTGCCTGCCAGCATTGCACAGTGTCTGTATCTTTACCCTGGCATTCACCTTATCTCTCGCCAACGATCGCAATCGCCTGGCTCTTTCTTCTCCCTCTCATTTCCGCTCCTCTCCATCCCCTCTTTGCCTCCTCTCTGTCCTCACCGCTACACCATGTGTGTATGCGTGTGTGTGGATCGTGTTCTGGCGTCTCTTGTCCTTCCGCGGCATGCGATGCAATGCAGGGAACTCAATGACAACCGCCTGGAGGGCACCATCCCTGGCACGCTCGGGGATTTGGTTGCGCTGCGTACATTGTATGTCCTACCTTTGTTGTTTCCTTGCAAGTGGCAAGCAGCTCATTCTCTCTGCTGTTGATACCGAGCAAACCCAAGAGCACTCCATTCCAGATGGGGTCAACATCTTTTGTGCCCTGTGCCCTCTGCTCTGCTCTCGGCTCTCTGCTCTCTGCTCTCTAATCGCTGCTCGCTGCTCTCTGCTCTCTGCTCGCTGCTCTCTGCTCTCTGCTCTCTGCTCTCTGCTCTCTAATCGCTGCTCGCTGCTCTCTGCTCTCTGCTCGCTGCTCTCTGCTCTCTGCTCTCTGCTCGCTGCTCTCTGCTCTCTAATCGCTGCTCGCTGCTCTCTGCTCTCTGCTCGCTGCTCTCTGCTCTCTAATCTCTGCTCGCTGCTCTCTTCTCTCTGCTCTCTGCTCTCTGCTCTCTGCTCTCTGCTCTCTAATCGCTGCTCGCTGCTCTCTGCTCTCTGCTCTCTGCTCTCTGCTCTCTGCTTGCTGCTCTCTGCTCTCTACTCTCTGCTCGCTGCTCTCTGCTCTCTGCGCTTGACTCTCGGCTCTCCCTCTCTCCCTTGTCGTCTCTGTGCGCATGGCAGGTTTATAAGGAACAACAGCATCATGGGACCCATTCCGGCATCCCTCGGCCAACTTCAAAGCCTTGACTCCCTGTGAGCGCGCGCCACCTGCATCCCATGTAATAGTGCTGCGTGCTGAGTGATGGATGGGTGATAGGGAGGGATGTGGCGAACGGGAGGGCGAGGGAACAGCTGAGCTGGAGCAGAGGAGTTGGGTGATTGGAATGATGAAGGGCTGCGTTGTGGGATGGGCGTGCATGTGAGGAGCACTGCACATGCCACAATTTGTGCTCCTCACATGCTGGGCTGTGTTTTAACAACTCAGTTTTACCAGCACCATGTCACTGGCTGCGTGTGGCATCACTGGCTGTGTGTGGCATCACTGGCTGTGTGTGGCATCACTGGCTGTGTGTGGCATCACTGGCTGTGTGTGGCAGGGCGATGGGACAGAACAATCTCAATGACACCATTCCTGCGCAGCTTGGCAACCTCACTAGCCTCCGCATGCTGTGCGCCCAGCTACCTCCTCCGCTGCATGCCACCATGCGTTCCCTTCTCCCGCTCTGCTAACTCCATTTCCCTCTAGTGCCTTCGCTTCTCTACCACAATTCTGCGTACATATCCCTCTTAATTCCTATCTTTCGCACCAACAACAACCCATTCCATGCCTGCCGATGCTTACTTATTCCAGTACCCACGATTTCCTCTGCTGACTATCCGAAACCCTGACGTGTGCGTGCAGGGGGCTCGGGATGAACAACCTGTCTGGGCCCATACCAGCATCCTTTGGCAGGCTGCAATCTCTCCAAGTAATGTATGCGCCCCTCTCTCCCACCCCTGCTGCTTAACTATGCTATCTCCTTGCAACACCAAGGCATGCAATGTGGATTGTCATGCGTTGGTCATGGCAAGCATTGGCATTGCTCACGGCATGCGTTGCTCATGGCATGTGTGGCCCATGGCAGGGTACTGTCAGTGAACAATCTCTCGGGCGCCCTGCCAGAGTCCTTTGGCAACCTCTCTAACGTTCTAGCCATGTACGCCCTCCTCGCACCCACTCACCTGCCTTCTCCTCCTCGCACCCACTCACCTGCCTTCTCCTCCTCGCACCCACTCACCTGCCTTCTCCTCCTCGCACCCACTCACCTGCCTTCTCCTCCTCGCACCCACTCACCTGCCTTCTCCTCCTCGCACCCACTCACCTGCCTTCTCCTCCTCGCACCCACTCACCTGCCTTCTCCTCCTCGCACCCACTCACCTGCCTTCTCCTCCTCGCACCCACTCACCTGCCTTCTCCTCCTCGCACCCACTCACCTGCCTTCTCCTCCTCGCACCCACTCACCTGCCTTCTCCTCCTCGCACCCACTCACCTGCCTTCTCCTCCTCGCACCCACTCACCTGCCTTCTCCTCCTCGCACCCACTCACCTGCCTTCTCCTCCTCGCACCCACTCACCTGCCTTCTCCTCCTCGCACCCACTCACCTGCCTTCTCCTCCTCGCACCCACTCACCTGCCTTCTCCTCCTCGCACCCACTCACCTGCCTTCTCCTCCTCGCACCCACTCACCTGCCTTCTCCTCCTCGCACCCACTCACCTGCCTTCTCCTCCTCGCACCCACTCACCTGCCTTCTCCTCCTCGCACCCACTCACCTGCCTTCTCCTCCTCGCACCCACTCACCTGCCTTCTCCTCCTCGCACCCACTCACCTGCCTTCTCCTCCTCGCACCCACTCACCTGCCTTCTCCTCCTCGCACCCACTCACCTGCCTTCTCCTCCTCGCACCCACTCACCTGCCTTCTCCTCCTCGCACCCACTCACCTGCCTTCTCCTCCTCGCACCCACTCACCTGCCTTCTCCTCCTCGCACCCACTCACCTGCCTTCTCCTCCTCGCACCCACTCACCTGCCTTCTCCTCCTCGCACCCACTCACCTGCCTTCTCCTCCTCGCACCCACTCACCTGCCTTCTCCTCCTCGCACCCACTCACCTGCCTTCTCCTCCTCGCACCCACTCACCTGCCTTCTCCTCCTCGCACCCACTCACCTGCCTTCTCCTCCTCGCACCCACTCACCTGCCTTCTCCTCCTCGCACCCACTCACCTGCCTTCTCCTCCTCGCACCCACTCACCTGCCTTCCTCCTCGCACCCACTCACTGCCTTCTCCTCCTCGCACCCACTCACCTGCCTTCTCCTCCTCGCACCCACTCACCTGCCTTCTCCTCCTCGCACCCACTCACCTGCCTTCTCCTCCTCGCACCCACTCACCTGCCTTCTCCTCCTCGCACCCACTCACCTGCCTTCTCCTCCTCGCACCCACTCACCTGCCTTCTCCTCCTCGCACCCACTCACCTGCCTTCTCCTCCTCGCACCCACTCACCTGCCTTCTCCTCCTCGCACCCACTCACCTGCCTTCTCCTCCTCGCACCCACTCACCTGCCTTCTCCTCCTCGCACCCACTCACCTGCCTTCTCCTCCTCGCACCCACTCACCTGCCTTCTCCTCCTCGCACCCACTCACCTGCCTTCTCCTCCTCGCACCCACTCACCTGCCTTCTCCTCCTCGCACCCACTCACCTGCCTTCTCCTCCTCGCACCCACTCACCTGCCTTCTCCTCCTCGCACCCACTCACCTGCCTTCTCCTCCTCGCACCCACTCACCTGCCTTCTCCTCCTCGCACCCACTCACCTGCCTTCTCCTCCTCGCACCCACTCACCTGCCTTCTCCTCCTCGCACCCACTCACCTGCCTTCTCCTCCTCGCACCCACTCACCTGCCTTCTCCTCCTCGCACCCACTCACCTGCCTTCTCCTCCTCGCACCCACTCACCTGCCTTCTCCTCCTCGCACCCACTCACCTGCCTTCTCCTCCTCGCACCCACTCACCTGCCTTCTCCTCCTCGCACCCACTCACCTGCCTTCTCCTCCTCGCACCCACTCACCTGCCTTCTCCTCCTCGCACCCACTCACCTGCCTTCTCCTCCTCGCACCCACTCACCTGCCTTCTCCTCCTCGCACCCACTCACCTGCCTTCTCCTCCTCGCACCCACTCACCTGCCTTCTCCTCCTCGCACCCACTCACCTGCCTTCTCCTCCTCGCACCCACTCACCTGCCTTCTCCTCCTCGCACCCACTCACCTGCCTTCTCCTCCTCGCACCCACTCACCTGCCTTCTCCTCCTCGCACCCACTCACCTGCCTTCTCCTCCTCGCACCCACTCACCTGCCTTCTCCTCCTCGCACCCACTCACCTGCCTTCTCCTCCTCGCACCCACTCACCTGCCTTCTCCTCCTCGCACCCACTCACCTGCCTTCTCCTCCTCGCACCCACTCACCTGCCTTCTCCTCCTCGCACCCACTCACCTGCCTTCTCCTCCTCGCACCCACTCACCTGCCTTCTCCTCCTCGCACCCACTCACCTGCCTTCTCCTCCTCGCACCCACTCACCTGCCTTCTCCTCCTCGCACCCACTCACCTGCCTTCTCCTCCTCGCACCCACTCACCTGCCTTCTCCTCCTCGCACCCACTCACCTGCCTTCTCCTCCTCGCACCCACTCACCTGCCTTCTCCTCCTCGCACCCACTCACCTGCCTTCTCCTCCTCGCACCCACTCACCTGCCTTCTCCTCCTCGCACCCACTCACCTGCCTTCTCCTCCTCGCACCCACTCACCTGCCTTCTCCTCCTCGCACCCACTCACCTGCCTTCTCCTCCTCGCACCCACTCACCTGCCTTCTCCTCCTCGCACCCACTCACCTGCCTTCTCCTCCTCGCACCCACTCACCTGCCTTCTCCTCCTCGCACCCACTCACCTGCCTTCTCCTCCTCGCACCCACTCACCTGCCTTCTCCTCCTCGCACCCACTCACCTGCCTTCTCCTCCTCGCACCCACTCACCTGCCTTCTCCTCCTCGCACCCACTCACCTGCCTTCTCCTCCTCGCACCCACTCACCTGCCTTCTCCTCCTCGCACCCACTCACCTGCCTTCTCCTCCTCGCACCCACTCACCTGCCTTCTCCTCCTCGCACCCACTCACCTGCCTTCTCCTCCTCGCACCCACTCACCTGCCTTCTCCTCCTCGCACCCACTCACCTGCCTTCTCCTCCTCGCACCCACTCACCTGCCTTCTCCTCCTCGCACCCACTCACCTGCCTTCTCCTCCTCGCACCCACTCACCTGCCTTCTCCTCCTCGCACCCACTCACCTGCCTTCTCCTCCTCGCACCCACTCACCTGCCTTCTCCTCCTCGCACCCACTCACCTGCCTTCTCCTCCTCGCACCCACTCACCTGCCTTCTCCTCCTCGCACCCACTCACCTGCCTTCTCCTCCTCGCACCCACTCACCTGCCTTCTCCTCCTCGCACCCACTCACCTGCCTTCTCCTCCTCGCACCCACTCACCTGCCTTCTCCTCCTCGCACCCACTCACCTGCCTTCTCCTCCTCGCACCCACTCACCTGCCTTCTCCTCCTCGCACCCACTCACCTGCCTTCTCCTCCTCGCACCCACTCACCTGCCTTCTCCTCCTCGCACCCACTCACCTGCCTTCTCCTCCTCGCACCCACTCACCTGCCTTCTCCTCCTCGCACCCACTCACCTGCCTTCTCCTCCTCGCACCCACTCACCTGCCTTCTCCTCCTCGCACCCACTCACCTGCCTTCTCCTCCTCGCACCCACTCACCTGCCTTCTCCTCCTCGCACCCACTCACCTGCCTTCTCCTCCTCGCACCCACTCACCTGCCTTCTCCTCCTCGCACCCACTCACCTGCCTTCTCCTCCTCGCACCCACTCACCTGCCTTCTCCTCCTCGCACCCACTCACCTGCCTTCTCCTCCTCGCACCCACTCACCTGCCTTCTCCTCCTCGCACCCACTCACCTGCCTTCTCCTCCTCGCACCCACTCACCTGCCTTCTCCTCCTCGCACCCACTCACCTGCCTTCTCCTCCTCGCACCCACTCACCTGCCTTCTCCTCCTCGCACCCACTCACCTGCCTTCTCCTCCTCGCACCCACTCACCTGCCTTCTCCTCCTCGCACCCACTCACCTGCCTTCTCCTCCTCGCACCCACTCACCTGCCTTCTCCTCCTCGCACCCACTCACCTGCCTTCTCCTCCTCGCACCCACTCACCTGCCTTCTCCTCCTCGCACCCACTCACCTGCCTTCTCCTCCTCGCACCCACTCACCTGCCTTCTCCTCCTCGCACCCACCTGCCTTCTCCTCCTCGCACCCACTCACCTGCCTTCTCCTCCTCGCACCCACTCACCCTGCCTTCTCCTCCTCGCACCCACTCACCTGCCTTCTCCTCCTCGCACCCACTCACCTGCCTTCTCCTCCTCGCACCCACTCACCTGCCTTCTCCTCCTCGCACCCACTCACCTGCCTTCTCCTCCTCGCACCCACTCACCTGCCTTCTCCTCCTCGCACCCACTCACCTGCCTTCTCCTCCTCGCACCCACTCACCTGCCTTCTCCTCCTCGCACCCACTCACCTGCCTTCTCCTCCTCGCACCCACTCACCTGCCTTCTCCTCCTCGCACCCACTCACCTGCCTTCTCCTCCTCGCACCCACTCACCTGCCTTCTCCTCCTCGCACCCACTCACCTGCCTTCTCCTCCTCGCACCCACTCACCTGCCTTCTCCTCCTCGCACCCACTCACCTGCCTTCTCCTCCTCGCACCCACTCACCTGCCTTCTCCTCCTCGCACCCACTCACCTGCCTTTCTCCTCCTCGCACCCACTCACCTGCCTTCTCCTCCTCGCACCCACTCACCTGCCTTCTCCTCCTCGCACCCACTCACCTGCCTTCTCCTCCTCGCACCCACTCACCTGCCTTCTCCTCCTCGCACCCACTCACCTGCCTTCTCCTCCTCGCACCCACTCACTGCCTTCTCCTCCTCGCACCCACTCACCTGCCTTCTCCTCCTCGCACCCACTCACCTGCCTTCTCCTCCTCGCACCCACTCACCTGCCTTCTCCTCCTCGCACCCACTCACCTGCCTTCTCCTCCTCGCACCCACTCACCTGCCTTCTCCTCCTCGCACCCACT